CGATCTTCAAATATTTAATTTTCTAAATAAAATGAATATTTCTTAAAATTAATGAATCTTTATAAGATTTAAGAAAAAAATTGAATCTTACTTAATGAAATCGCACAAAATAGTTTCCAAATAATAAGCATTATCTCAAAAAATGATGAATTATCTGTAAATTTGTCAAGAACAATCGTCCATAAAATGAAGCACTTCTTTGTTTGAGTAAATATGCAATAAAATATGAGAAATTAAATCGTCAATTCAATTTTTATAATTTTAAATAAATACAGTTAAACAATTTTAAAAAATAAATTTTTCAATAAATAAATTTTGAAAGATTAGTTTTTAATTTAATTTTTAAAATAAAAATTAAACTATAAAAATTGCAAAAATTAGTTAAAATTATTTCAAAATTTTTTGTTGCATAAAAAATTTTCATAAAGCAATTTTGATTTGCCTTTTATAATTTTGTCTTTTATGATAAATAGTGATAAATTTCTTTCATTTTCAATAAGATTCGATTTAAAAATAGAAGAAATTGCGATAATTTTTCGATTTAATTAAGATTCTTAAATCAAATTATGTTTCAATTATGATTCAAATTATGTTTTATTTTTATTAAACATTGTTTTTAAATGGCTTTGTTTTCTTTTAGCCAAAAAATTCCTGAATTCATCAAGAATACAAAATTTTTTATTGGTATTTTTGTTGATAATCTTTACTATCTTATAATCTTATAATCTTTTCTGTTAAGAAAACAACTCAGTGAATATCAATTTAATCACATAATTTCAGTAAACTGATAAATTTTTTTATTTGTTGTAAATTTAATAAAAAATAATTGCTCGATGAAACATTCGCAGTTGACTTATTTTATTCTTATATTTTCTTAAAATGGTAAAAATATCTGAAAAAATAATTTTTTATTAGGTTATTATTAATTTAAAAAATAAAATTTTTATATAGAAACATTATAAAAAATAAATTTTATTCGCGAAAAAAAAGAAAATTTGTCAAATCAACTAATGCACTGGCATTGTAAAATAAATACAAATTTTTCATAGATATTATACCAATATTAGTGGCTAATTTCTTATTTCTACGGGCAATAAATAAATAGATCGAGTTGTCTTTATTTAATTTCTAATAAATCCATAGCCTGAGGCAATTAAAAGTAGCATTTAATTGGCATTGGTTTATGATTTATTAAATCGATCATTGTAGGTATAATTTAAATGAGCATAAATTAAAACACCAATATCTCGATGACCATTTTCGACTGCTATTGATAACGCTGTTGAGCTGTCCTTAAAATATTTGTGAATATAGAAAGATTAATTACCATAATGCAAAAAAAAAGTTCAAAAATTAACCATAAATGTGATAATTCTAATTGTGAAAAAAAAACTAAATACTTATAAATTAAGTGGTCATTCATTCCTCTATAATTCTATCTCAAAGTGACTTTTTTTTTTTAAAGAGCCCTCACCATTACTCCTTTCTGGCTTGTCGCACTGGACAGTCCAATATGCCAGGGAGTACCTTGGCGATAGAAATACATGTGAGTCGCCAGCATCACCTGGATTTTTGTACAGGTTTACTCCTGCGAGGAATTGAACCTCAGCATCCGCGCTCCCAATTGAGCAACAACCCAACTGAGTCATTCCATCCCCAAAGTGACTCTCACTTTAAGAGATTCACTTTAACTATTAAAGTTTGAATCTAAAATCAGCCAAATCAAAATGATGAATATTTTTAGAAGAAGAAGAAGAATGAAAAGGAATGAGAATCTTTCGGTAATATAATCAGTTAAATATTTAAAATTAATGGTTTACTGCACGTTATGACTAACGCAGTCAGACAATGAAGCATCAATTGTCGGATGTTTAAGCAACAATTTCACAATTTCTTTATGTCCATGTTCAGCGGCGCACATTAAAGCTGTTGAACCTTCTTCGTCCTAAAATCGAACTTATGCAAATCAATGGTAATACAATGCTTTACCTTGCCTTGGCAATAATAATTGCTATATGAATCATGCAATCATGCAATCATGCAATGAAAACAATTAATATCGCCGATATTTTTAAATATCATTGGCATTGAATAATTTAACAATATTCGCTTATACTGATAAAATCAAAATTTTCACAACTATCCCAATGTAAATAAAAATTATTTAATATAAAATATTTAATAAAAATATAAAAATATTAAAAAATAAATAAATAAATAAAATTTTTAGAAAAAACAAATGCCTGGATATTAACATCAGCATTGCACTGCAATAGAATCCTTGTGGTATTGACATTTCCATGAGATGCAGCGAGCATTAGTGCTGTTTGCGCATGCTTCAAGTGATAAATTTCAGATATTCAAGTTTTGTTTTATAACTGCACTTATATACTTAAACAAATTCCCACTTTTTTAATATAATTTGCAGATGTTGCTATACGTGTATGTATGTATAAGTATGTTGGGAGCGCCAATGCGAGGTTCGGTTCCCCACAGTAGTAAACCTAACCAGAAATCTGGGTGATGTTGGGCGACTCACTTGTACTTCTATCGCCAAAGGACTCCCAGGTATATTGCTCTATGTGACAAGCCAGTGGAGAGAGTTTAGCCAGTAATGGTGAGGACTCTTAAAAAAAAAAAAACCTTATTTGCTTTGATATTAACATCACCCATTTCGAAGATTCTTTGTATGACCGTAAGTTTTATCTCATCGGAGGCATCATATAATGCTGCTAACATCACAGGAGTGTAACCAGCCTGAAAAAATCTTTTGCAAAGAAAAATGTGGTTTCCTTTTCAAATTCGTGATCAAAATTCAAAAAGATCATCTGAGGTTATCATTCGAGTAATTCATTTTATCAATCTAACTATAAACAATTTTATTGCAAGGAAATAAATAAAGAATCAAGAAATTAAATTCTATTCATCATTAAATCTTTTATATTTGCGAAAGGCTTAGAAAGAAAAACGCAGATTTTGATTTTCCTTTAGTTGTAGAAGAAAAAGGAAAAATACATATTTATGTAGATATCAATAAGAAATAGACAAACTTTGTTCATAAAATTCAAGTCGCATAGTTTTGTATCCAAAAGTACGCTTACTACATCTAAATTGCCGTGTGAGACAGCATAATGAAGTGCAGTATTTTCCTTAAATTAATATTAGCAATGAATGAATCTTTTAAACCTTGATTTCTTAAATTAACGATAAGATCTTCAATCATTTACTGATAAACTGATAATGATATCCTATTATTACTATTAATGCTGTTAATGAAGAAAAAAATAAATTTTTTTTTTTTACATTTTGATCGGTGATATTAACGATATAATTGAGAATAGATATGGAAATTTCCTTAACGGCATCGATAAAACCTTTCACTTGTATTGGTGATGATGTTTTTCGAGCAGTTGTCTTCAACCATTGGTGCTGAACATATTTTACTGCCCATTCCTAAATAAGCTACTTTTATGCATTTATCCTTTACGAATAACGATCCTCGCACATTCATATATAATATTCTTTCTATTGATACAAATTTTTTCACAAAATTTTTTCATACTATTTCCAGTTTTTCATAATCTTTCCTCAGTAATTTTTTTGCAGTTTACCTTATCTTTGAATTTATAATTGTAATATTTTCATTTATAAAAATTAATTCAAACAGCAGAAAACGAATTTTTAGAAGTTTTTTAGGAAATTTTCACACAAATATTTAAATATTTTTACTAAAATATAAATGTAATATTATAATTTTATAAATATTCTACTTTTATAAAGTAAATAAAGTAAAAAAATTTAGCTAAAAAAAACTAAGTAAAAAATTAAAAAGTAAATTAAGCAAAAAAAGTAAAAAATTGTTCGAATTTTACTATTACAGTAGTGCTATTTCACCATACGAAATTTTCAAGAATTAATTAATTATAAATATCCGCTATTTTTATCAAAAGTGATTTGTTTCTTCAAACATTTCCAAACGCGAAAATTATTAAATATTTAAATTATTAAAATTCATCGAAAAATTCTACTTTTTATGCAAATATATTTTAAGTGATGCTGATAAAGTCCTGCGAAAAACCTATCCGCATGATAATCTACACTGATTTACGAAAGATGAATCCAAAACGAAAATATGAAGGATTTCAAATAAAGTATTATTTTGTATGATCGACATGTACGTGAAGAATGGAAGAATCGAATCGATAGAAAAAGACTTCAAAAAGAAGAAACTAAGTTCCGAAGACAACATTCTTTTATAGAAGATCATTCTTATAAATTCTCTAAAACACGGCTGTTCGATTAGCTTAGAAAAGATTTAAAACTTCTCGTCATAGAGCGAGAATTATGCATATAATTATTTTATTTTATTTATATTAAATATAAATCAGAATAAAAATTACAATATTTTTAATATAAATAAAATATTATTTTTAATATGATTTTTAATATAATATAATTTAATATAATAATATATAATATATAATATTATATTTTTTAATATAATAATATAATATAACAAAAATAAAATAACTTTTAGTTATATCCGATTTTTGCAAATCTTCTATAGTATTATTTAAAAAATTATTTTTTGTTATTTGATAAATTTTTAAAAATATATTAATAAAAAATATATTATTTTATATATTTTATATTATATTATATTATATTATATTATGTATTTTATATTAAATATATATATATATATATATATATATTAAATGCAATTATTGCGCAAAAACAAGCACAATTACAAATTATGTGATAAATTTTGTAATTATTTTTCATTTTTCTCTAAAAAAAATAATTCTAAAAAAAGAATTCAAATGTTCATTCATTTCAAAAAATTTATAAATTAGATGGATAAATCTCGTAATTACTTACATGAATTGTAGAATCATTAATAATTTTGCTTTCAAAATTTTCCTTTAAAATTGTCAAAGCCTCATTTAATTCAATTGTAATATCGAATTCTGTGTCATTATCATCGTTTTCTTCAATCTTAGTATCACCAGAACTTTCAGAATCTGATGAGCTTGAGCTTGAGCTATAAGTTTCGAATTATTTATAGACTTAATAACTTAATAAGTAAAAATTTGGTTATAAGTGCAATGCAAATTATAGTTGTTTTTAGCACACCAGCAATCTCGTTCAATTTTCTCTTGCACTGTTCTGCCTGTTGAACAAATATTTGATCTGCTCGTAGCGATTCGTTCATTCGGATATGAAAATAATGGCCTCATTTCAGATCGTAGTGGAGTTAGACGGTCTTTACTCTCAGCAACCTGCTCATATTTATAATTTTAGGAAAAACTTTTCTTAGAATTCAAGTAGCGTATTTTTTAATTTGAAATATTTAATGAAGGATATGAAAATAAAAAAATTGGGAATTCTTAAAATTTAATAATAAAAAATAATTAATAAATAAATCGATAATAAGAATTTTCTAATAAGAGAGAGAGGAAAAATTAAATTAAACTGAGCTAATTCGAAAATGAAATCAATTTTTAATGATACCTCATCAGGTGATTGAGGAGTAGCTTCAGCTGGACTATATCTGGAGAATTTCGGTCGAGGAATCCTTGCTGGTACTGGTTCGGGGACTTTTGATGGAGGCATTTTTATTACTGTTTCTTTTTTTAGAACAACTTTTTCTTTTAGTGCACCCTTGTTTGTTTGAGGTGTCGAAGGGCATGAAGCAGTCTGAAATATCGTTTTGTTCAAAATCGCACTTTGCTGATAAAGTGAAAATGAAGCAAAAAACTTGCGGAAAATGGACCCTACCTCAGCTCTGTGTTGATCGGCAATGTATTGTAGATCATCACCTTTATTTTTTGGAACTCGATACGATTTTGATAATTTTGTGCTTCGCTTAAACGTTTGTTTTTCTGATCGATCACCTGATTGGTCACACTTATCAGTGAGGAGTTTCTTAATAGCTTCAGCTCGAGCAGACCCAAGCACTTTTGCATTATCAGTATAATCGTCTGCTGTTCGTTGTCGTTTCGACAACTCTTCGACAGACTCAACTCCTTCAGAAACTGCTTCTGATTTAGTTTCTTCCATTATATATACCTGGGAATTTAACTCAGTTTAATTCAATTCATATAAAAATACAAGAATTTAAATAATACTATTTTATAATTAAAATTAAAGTTATTTATATATATGGTGATCGTCTTTATGAATTACTTGTTCATTAGAAATGAGCGCTCCATTTTGCAAAAATTTTTCACTAAATTCTTTGTCATTTTGCTCGAATTTCCCAATGATTTCTTCATCATTACCGGAGGCTACATCTTTCATTGTTTTGCATGGTATTAACCATAAAGATTCAGCTATTTCTGAATCGTTCAATATACGTGGTTCATATTGTACTAAATCTAAAATTTGACTATATCAAAAATTCTAGAACAAATTTAATTTCTATAAATTTTAAAATTTAATAATAATTACTAAATAATAAAATAAAATAATAATTACTAAAAATTAAAATTATTGACCAAATTCAGTTTGCGAAGCCGTATTATTCGCAATTAAAGCTAATCCCGAGTTGTTCATTGTTGTAAATGCGGGAATACAAGAAGTTGCTGTAGGAATAATTTGTAAATTATCAGTTGGTTTATCATTCATATCAGATCCAGTATGAACCAAATCACGAACCACTGTTGCAATTGCTATCGTTCTTAATAAAAATCAAAATTAGAAATGAGAATTGTTTTTTTTTTGAATTTAAATGCAAAATAAAAACTAAAAATAAAACGTATTTTAGAAATAAAACTAAACGTGCTTTTTTTTTTTTTTTATTTATATGCAAATTTTTTGAATATAAAAGGATTTAATGGGTAATCGTTATGATACGAAAATTTTTGCCTCATCGATACAGCATCGGTTTGTATGTTTTGTGATTGACAAATGGTTGATTGCGTGATAGTAGCGATATCACACATTATGAGAGCCTCGTTTGATCCAAAACCGCGGTCAACCAATTGATTAACTGTATTCGTCGATTTATCTACAAATTTAAAATATAGCAATTGATCATAGAAAATAGATAATAGAAATAGATAATAAAAAATATAATTAAAAATAGCAAAATATTGAACATAATAGATAATAAATAGACAATTGTTTTCTTCTTTCTTCTCGAAACTAAGATTTTATTCGGATAGAAGGGGAAAAGAGAAATCGAGAAATAGCTAAATATATCAGTGATAACATTACAGTGGTTTCTTTTTCTACGTCCATGAAGTATATATTTTAATAATAATTATAAAATTTATAATAACCTTCATTAAGGTAATCAGTATTACACGAATTCTTAAAACCCATGCAATCAACCATAATAGATTTTTCCACGCAGAGAGGCATTGGAATATTTTCTGTCATTACACCTATCGAATAAGAAAAGAGATCACCAAAAGAAGTTGCCGATTCATGACGCAATCCCATCTTAATCGTATCCGAATAGTCAATTCCTGTTCCCTAAAATTATCGCCGATAATGGATTTAGTAAATCTAAATAGTACGTCTTTAAATTTACGATTATACACTTTATATTCCTATTTCTCACTAGTATTTTCTTTCATCCACTAAAAATCCTTGTAAATCCTTTCATGTAAAAAAAATTCTAATATTGCTATAAAGTCTCGAAAATAAGGATTATCCTTTCTAGAAATAAGAAAATAGTAGCTTACAATTTCGGTTAAATCAACTTTTAAAGTGTCGCAAGCAGAATCACAGAGTTCGTTCCTCACTGTCATGGTACCGAATTCGTTTAAAGCAACGCAACAATCACCATTACATTTATCTGCAGTCGATGGACAATCTGTATTAATTCCGATATCGTAGCGCCTATACATCGGAATTTTTTCATATATTTTCAACCTAAAATTGAATAATATAAAATATTTGCCTAAAATTAACAATCGATAATCTTTTTTATTTTTTGAAACTATTTAGAAAATATAAAAATGATGAATAAAAGCAAATAGAATTAAATTTTGAACAATTTTGGTAAAATCTGCATAAAACACCTCTCGCTAAGTGAATCTATTTGCTGCTTCATTTTTAAGCATTCAACACATCGTTTTAATGGTAACAATGGTGGAGTTGATGTTCCTATCGATACCATTTCAATTCTCATTGAATCATTCCATTTTCCATATCTGAAAATAACATTTAACTAAGTTCGCGAGGTATAAAACAAATTAAAAATTATCATTCATTTTTTAATTTCAATTATTTAAATTATTTTTTACTTAATAAATGATTTGATGAAATATTTTCAGAAAAGAATTTTAAAAAAATTCAAATGTAAAGTGCAAATATAATTATTGTTAAATTTATTATAATAATTATTAAATTTAGCTAAATTTTTCAACTATTAGTTTTAATTATTTTATTGAAAAATTGAAAATTTTTATTAAAAATTATTATTATTATATTTTATTATTAATTTTTATTATTATATTTTAAAAAAATTTTAAAAAATTTTAAAAAAATGAACCCAAAAGAATTTCGTTTAGATTCGCCTTTCTATTTAAATTATTTCTATCAAAAGATAACTAAGAATGATATAATTGATAAAATGAATTTAGAAATAATCTAAAAAGAATGAGCAAATAATAGTTTTTCTCTAAAGTATTAAATTTGTAAAAATTTTAAAAATTTTCTTATTCTTTTACTGAGAAATTTTTTGTTGTTTTAGCGAATTAAAATCAGAAAATTGCGTATTAGCGTTTTCAAACAAGCGAAATCTTGGCTCCGTTTCTTGGTCGTTAGCCTTTCGTCGAAAATTTTCGTGCAAATCAATCCGATATTGTAATTTATTATTAAATCTATCATTATCTTCTAGTAAAATATTATCAGATCGTGGATTAGCAGTTTCTTGCAATGGCTGAAAAAATAAAAATGTTTGTTAAAAAATGAAAATTCTCGTTGAAAATTAAAAAATTTTCATTTTCAACTTTGCAATATAATAAGATAGATTGAATCATTTGAATAGGTTATACTAGCGACTTATTTGTACTTGCAATGCCGTATGAATGCCAATGGCAAAAATTTCTAAATTGCCAATTAATAGTTAATTAGAAATATATTGCGCTAACCACATTTATTTATTCATTTATATATAAGTATGGCCAAAGCTCTTTGCGCAACACTTTTGGCTCATTTTTTCTATCTCCACTGATTGCTAGAAGACTCCTTCATTAGAGGATTATTTAAGGATAAAGGCATTCGTAGCACTAAAAGGCAAGGCATTTCACGGTGATAACCAAGCTCGAGTCATTATTTCATAATCTCTAGTCACTAGTTTATAAAATATATTGATTATATTTCATTATCTTATCAATTTAATAAGCATATAGTTAACTGGTCACAAATGAAATTATTAGGTAAATAATAAGAATAATTATTAATTTTTTTTATCAATTTACTAATTATAAGAGCTAAATTACCGCAATAAATTCTTCATTTAGTGATGATTTGTGGATTTTATCGAAATTTTCATGTTTCTTTCTTCGTACACTTAAAAATCCGTTAACATCCATTGCACTCATACTTCTTTGAACAAAATCGTCGCTTTTCCACGAGGATTTTGGAATAAAATTCTGATTATAGTTCGATGTGAATGGCTTTCTTTTAATGTCGTCGTCATCGTTAATCAATTGTTCGCCGTTTCTTTTGCTATTTTCATACATTATAGGTGCTCTATGGTTTACACGATAATTTACAATATTCTTCCTTGTCATTTCAGGGGTTTTGCTACCAAAATAATGGGTATTTCCTCGATAATAGGATGTTTTCTCCGACTGCAAATTACTATTTAAATTTTTCTGCAAAAGACCAAAAAGCAAAAAGAAAATAATAATAACTAATACTGAATTGAATAGCTTATAATTTATTGCTGTGATATTATATCTTATCACCTTATCACCAAATAATTCGTTCATTCTTAATTCTTTAAGGATCTTCTAACGATTAAAAAAAAAAAATTTATCACTTACATGCGTTGGCTGATTAATTAAGGTTGGAAATTTGAAGATATTCGAAACAATTTCATTGTTTTTTTTGATTTGTGAAATTGTTCGTCCAATTTCCGTATTATATGCTACAAGAAATTAAGGTAATAGAAAAGTTTTTTTGCAATTTTTATTCGCTCATTTAGATTGAAAATGAACATCGAATTGTTTAGGAATTCCTTCGATATCGATTTCATTTAAATTCTTTCTTAAATTTATTTTAATTCCAAAAGCCGTTTTCTTTGAATGCTCTATGAATTTTTTTCTTTTTCTAAGAACATTTAACATTTCTAATTTTTTCAGAATAGAAAAATTTTGCAAGGAAGCAAGATTCGGCAATAAAAATACAGGTGAAAATAATGAGCATCACTTGGATTTTTGGAAAAACGAGTTATTATTGCCAAAAGTACATTTCTAGAATCGGCGAATTAAGGGCAATCAACACATTTCGCTGAGCCATTCAATCCATTTATTTATTTTATTATTATTTATTTTAAATCTATTATTTATTTTTATTTTTTACAAAATTATAAGACTAATTAATTAAAAAATATTGTTCCAGTGAAAAAAAAAAACTCATCACAGCTTCTTAATTTATTCCATTGCGTTCTTTTAACCAATTCACCAATATTCATTTCAATTTGTTATTAAAGAACTTGACATCGTACGAATAAATAAATTTATCAGTTTATCAGTTTCAATTTATCAGTTCGTTAATCATATCAACGATATCTCAATATTTAAGTCCTATTTGTCGCATAAGAGGATTTTTTTAAAGTAAATATTTCAAAATTGTCATGTATGATTTATTGTTGTAACGCTTGATTAATAAAGATTACCATTATTATCAATATTTTTGTTGTACATTGATGAATTTGTTGCGCGTTGTTGTCTTAATTGATGAGTTTCAGTCGATGAATAGTGATCGAATGAATCTTCAAAACAATTATTATCAGAGAAATATCCATTATTCGGATAGACGGTCTTCAATCTTGTTTCTCTACCAGAAATGTCATGTTTGTCACTGATATTTAATGCTTCCTCCAAGCGATCAACAATATTTTCGAATGAATCACTGCAAAATTTTGTTAAATAAATCTATTTTAATCAAGCACTGATTTTATATCAAAATAATGATAAGCAGCAACCAATTTTTCTTCTTTTCTCTTAAGATAATGGAATAAAATTGATGAATGCAATATTGGATTACATTGGATAGAACTCGTCCTTGCCGGTTATTTAATTGTTCTCTTAAAGAATGCTGATTTTTTGTTAATTACAAGTGAATCGCCAGCAGTACTTGGATTTTTTTAGATTTATTCTTGCCGAGAGCAAAAAATCCAGCGCCAGCACACCGATCAATCGCTAATTCAAATTAGCTTAATAGCTATGACAATGGAATGGGACTCAAAACTTGGCAATAGCCAAAAATCTTAGAGATGAAAATGCGAGCGACAAGCTATTGGACCATTTTCACCATACATGAAGCTACTTAATAGCCATGGAAAAAAAAACTTTTATGAGATATATTTTCAAAATATTTTTGAGAAAAAAAAATATGGATCGCATTGATTTAATTTTTTAAATGACAGGTTTACTCCATTCAAAAAAGATGAATGAAAAATTCATTAATGGATTTAGCTTAAAGTTATTAAACTTAAGAAAAGTACGAAAAAAACTATTTGCTAGAATTTCACCAGAATTATCGCCACTGTTCTATACGTCTTTCGAATCACAATTCCATTAAAAAATATTTCAATATGTTTTAATCGAACGTAAAAGTGAACCAATGTTTTAATCAAACGAAAAAGTACATAGATTTTTTTCGATTTTTTTCCAATAATTTTGAAGAAATGAAACAGCAAAAAAAATAATTATTAGTGTTTGGTTAAAAAATCGATTAATTTAATTAATTAAAAACTGGTTGATAAAATTATCAATCTTAAAAATTCAGTAGTTAAATCACAGTGAATTTCTCTAATGTGATTTTTTTGGATCCTAAAAAGTTCACTCGTCTGCCCATTCACCTCTTTATATAGATAATTTATTCATTGCCTATTGTTATCCTTCTTTATCCTTATTTCTTTTTTTCCAAATTGCAAATTTTTTCAGCTAAAAATTCTTTCGAAAATTATTGAATTATAAAATCACCTTAGAATGTTTTTGAATTGAGTTGTTGTTTGCCCTCCTTTTTCGGTACTATATTTATGAATTTTTGGTTGCAAAGTTTTTACTGAATTCTAAAAAAATATTTGATATTTTACTTTATTTTATTTAATATTTATTTATTATATCATAATATTTAATACAAAAATATTTTTTTAATAAAAAAATATTTGATATTTTATATATAATATTTTAATATATATAATATATATATTACTTTAATATTTTACAGAAATTCTTAAATAATTCTTTAGGAGAAAAATTTGAAATATAAATGCAATAAAAAATTAATCGCTAATTGAAATTAGCTATTAGCTATGGTAAATTGAACTTAAACCTTGGTTATAGGCCCCTAAGTATTTCAGATAAGACGAAATCAACAAGGACCGAGATTAAGAAAAGAAAGCCTTATAAATATTTACCTGTTTATCGAAATTTCCCTTCGAGATATTTTCCGCAAATTTCACAAAATCAAGTTCGATGTGAAATCCATATGGACAACAGTTACACTGACTGGTATTTGAGTTTTGATAATAGCGACGATCATTCAATGAAGTCATGGACAATGACTAAAAATTTAAATTTTTCGAAGGAAAATTGCAGAAGAAAAGAGTCCTTAACGTTTTCTTGTATCGACAGCTACTGACCGTATGATGAAGCTTATAGACCACTTCTTAAAAAAATGCCTAAAATACGAATTATGGTGAAATCATAATGGCGATAAAAAATTTATAGAAATAAAATATCTTCATATAAAACATGTATTTTATATAAAATATGCAGCAATGAAATATAAATTTACAAAATATAAATAAAATATCTTTCTTAAAAATTTAAAAATTTACTTCCGCTCTTATTATAAAACCCGAGGAATAAGAATTTCTGTGGAACTCGGCTTAAGAATCCTTTAAATAGTTAGAATAAATAATATTTTATTACAATATTATTTATTAATATCATTTTATTACAAATATTATTTATTAATCAACATTGATTATAAAATTTTGACTGATGTTGTTGTAATTACGACAACATTTTACATAATAATATCGAGTGAATCTAATAATTGAACGAACTTTAGCGTTTTTTTGTAATTTCACATTTTCCATAAAATGGCGAATTTTTTGAGAATCACTTTTTTCCAGAATTAGAGGAAAATTTTTGGTTTTCAAATCGATAACCGTTTGGAATTTCTGGATTTTTTAAATTTAAACAATTATTTCTTTAAAATGCAAGCCTAAGAATCTAAATTCCACAAATTCCACTTCTAATAAAGTAATTTTATTTTGTAAATTTATAAAAAAAAAAGTGAAAAGATTCCACCGATTCGAAATATGGCATTATATTGTATAATAATAGATTTATACAGCTGATGAAACATATGGACCTAATGAATCTAATAATAAATTTCTATCGAAGATTGTTTCATAAATAATACTCACACAGTTTCTCATAAAAAGGTAATGGATAAGGTGAATTCATATAAATAATTGTAAATTTTCCTGAATAATTGATGAAAACATGTTTTTCACCATTATTTCACCACTCACCATGCACCATTTTTATTACCATTGCAATTCTCATTGAATTTTTCTTAATTTTCTCGATTTTTTCGTTATAAATTTCAAAAATTTCGTAAAATTTAGCATTTATTTTATTTTTATTAAATTTTTAAATTATTAATTTTTCTTTTTATTTTTTTACCAATAAATTTTTCAGAAAATTTTCACAATTATATTGATATCAGTCCATTGTTTATTCATTTGTATAATCAGCGCTTTCAGAGCTCAGAGCTATTGATGAAAATAAAAAGTGTGGTTACTAATAAAATTGCAAATCAACTAAATCCATTATAAAATCCATTATATATGAGCATTTTAAATGAAGTGCATTTTGTAATAAATTGAATTAACCTATTTCGTAATTCAGGTCAAATTATTTCGCTATTGTTGCTTTTCCGCAATTATAATAGTGTAATAAATTTGAAATAATAATTTGGAAAATTATATCGATGGAAAATTTAATGGAAAAAGAATTTATATAATCCATTATTTCAAATCTCTTGCCAAATTTTTCTTGATTTTAATTTTTATGGACGTTTTTTCAAAAAATCTATTTCAAAACTTATATTAACTAAAAAATCAATTTAAATTTCTCATTTCCCTAGCATTCATCGATAATAAATAAATTTTATTTTTTACAAAATTTTTTTACAAAAATTTTTGTTGAAAAATTAGTTAAAATACATATATATGCATAACAAAGATAATAGCAATAATAAAATATTAAAAATATTTGTTAAATTAGAAGTATATTAGAAATAGATTAAGTACAGGCGAATAATAAATTCAAGCCTTTCGTAATTTTACGTTATAACATATGTTCAACTCAATTTAACCACAAAATTTCCCAAATTTTCACCATTTTCGTATTGTTTTCAGGCTAATTTGCCGTCAAAAATAGGAATATGAATATAAATTATGATTAAAATAAAAAAGAAAACAATATAAATATGAGAAAATACAATATTTAAGTTGAAACGATTTAAATTATTAAAATTAAGAAGAAAAATTCATAAAATGCTTCATCATTTTTTTCCCTAAGAGCACTTACCATTCCTGGTTAGGCTCGCTCCACTTGTCGGATCAAATAAAATTTGCCAGGAATCACTTGGCAATCGAAGTATAGATGATTCGCCAGCACCACCCGGTTCATATTGAATAAATCGACCAAAATTTTTTATTTACTACAAAAAAAAAGTGGAAAAAAAATGTACCATTAAAGAAAAAATTTTAAAATTTTCGTTAAAAATAACCGCTTTAAAACCACTAATAGCAATTAAAATTATAGGAAAGTAAATGTTATCATTAGTCGTAAGATTAATCAATGAAAGAATTTATGTTATGCACTGTACGAATCTTCAAGGTTGATTGGTTTTCTCCATTTGGTTCACATCTTTTACACCAAAACAATCACAAGCAAGGTTTATAGACATCTATTCTTACGCTTTAAAAATTGTTTAAAGTATAAAATTAAAAATATAAAATTTATTTTAATTTTACTGGCAAAATTAAAATTATCACTAAATTAATCAATTTCGACTTTGGTTTTAATAAAATTTAAGGTGTTCTGATTATCAAAACTTTGGCATTCATTAAATTATTTGACGACCGTAATTTTCTTAAATAAATATAATTTGCTTGCTTACTGTCAACGTTTTTATAAAATCTTCGATATAATTTTTAAGTAATAAAAAATTGCTAATAAATAATAAATTCATAAATTCATAGAAAAATCTCACGATGGAAAATGAAAATTCTTAAATTCTTTTTTGATTACTTTTTTTTTAACGCTATTTCGCGTAAAAATCAATTGATAAATCCGAGATTTTTTCTAAAAATTTTATTAAAATTTTTTTATTAAAATTAAATTCATTAAAATTTAAGATTTTTATTAAAATTAATAAAAACTGATAAAATGCTTAAATATTTAAATTTTTTTAAAATGAACTTTTCGTTTAGTATAGTAAAAATATGAATAATAAAGAAATTTTTATAAACCGACAATTTTGGCTGAAAATTGTGGATTTTAAAAAAATATTTTAAAATTTTAAAAAATTTCTTTATTATTTCTATAGATCCTTCAAGCCAGATTCTTGCAAATTTTAAAATTTTTTAAAATTTTAAAAAATTTCTTTAATATTTCTATATATTATAAGCATTTTAAAATGTAATTGAGCATTAACTTGTTTTCTTATGCTTTAAATAGTTTCGCATAAATTCATTTCCAAATAACGGAAATATTCCAAATCTTTCGCATTCTTTTTAATTTTTCTTAAAATAAATTAAATAAAATAAATTGCCATTAAAATTTTGAAAATTATTACAAAATATTAAAATTGAAATTAATAAATTAAAATTATTAAAAGCAAATTAAAAATTAAATTAAATTCGAAAATGATATTGAATGAATTCGAAATTTGAAAGAAAGAAATGAAAAGAAAGATGAAATGAAACGATTTTAATAAAATAAAAGAAGAAATTAACGAATAAATTTACCAATATTAAAATATAAGAGAATATTTAAAAGTTTATAGAAAGAATAGAAAAATTGAAATTAGTGAAATAAATGAAAAAAAATAAGTATCGATCAAATTTATTGTGTAACACAATTGGTTATATTTGCTAAATTCGTTAAAGAAATACAACCAAGAATTTTAAGAACGACCTGGTTAATTCCTTATATCCTTATATATGGAGGGATTCGAATGATCAATCATAAATTCATTCCATCAACGTTTAAAGAACGATGATGAAGGCTCATATTAATGCTCATATCGATAAAACTACCGAAACGAATAAAGCAGTTGGAATAATGTTGAAATTATGGGGTCAAATTTTAGTAACAAGGTCATTGTCTTTTAAAAAACTATGAGGCATAGTGGTAAACCAAAAGCAAATGGTAATGAGTTCTGTTCGTCTCCTATTCACCTTTATTTTCAATTGTTTCCTTCAACTAATGAAATAGTTTCATTATAATAATCGATGGTATAAGTCAAGCCAGAAATCCTTGCAATCCTTGCAAAGATCATTTCTTAAATTAATCCGATGAGAATTATTGAATGATAAAAAATAGTTGAAAAAAAATTAAAGCTAAAATAAGTTTAGAAAAATCGAAAATTTTCGTTTTATTTTGAAACGTTTACTCTAAAAAATTTATATCAAACTCGAGAGAATCCAAACTTTCGTCGTTTATAAAATTTTTTCTTGAAAAATATTTCTTTATTCAAAACAATCAAAATCAAGCGAACAATATAAAATTAACTATAGATTATAAATAGATTTTGTAGAGCTCAACAAAACTGGTTATTCCTTTAAAAATTTCTCGCTTTTTTTATTGGATGAATTGAATTATTATTTCCTGTATTTCCTATTATCTAGGAAAAAAATTCATAAGCGCCAATGAAAAAATGCCAATCAGAAATACCTAAAACTTATAAAGAACATTTTTCGAATCGAATATTCGACACTAGCTAACCAAATTTATTTTCAATTCAACGCTAAACGCTCAAAGACATTTTTATACCGAAGTGCCTAAGGCAAGATAAATTTAAAGATTTAGGGCAACTCGGATTTTCTATTATTTATCCTTAAAATATATTCCCTTACAAATTTTTTTTTAATAGTTTAATTTCTTATCAAATATTATCACTGCTCAACTAAATTTTGCTTTATTTCTTCAAACTTAATGAATTTAATTTAGCGAGGAAAGTTGGATTAATACAAATCATTATAGTTATTAATTTCCTTAATTCATTCAGTTCCCATTCATATTATTTCCAATAACTTTTTGATTTACTAGAACTATTTATTTGAACAAATATTTGTTGACTTTCTCGATGTATCAAAGGAAAGTACTTTACTAATGATATTATTTTATAAGTGAGATATAAGTCTGACCCGATTGTAACGGACAGGCGCATTATTATAACAAATATTTCAATATTTTCCTTTTTTTTTCCTTCATTTTTCCAGTAGCGTGCATCATTTTCTGGATTGGTTGTGCTCCACCGGTTTAAGATTGTGCGATTAGATGAATATTTTGCCAACGGATCAGGGTGATGGTAGAACTATATTAGTGCTTTTACATGTTTTTAATTTTATTATGGAATGGAACTCGAACTTATTT